TCATCGGCAAGTTGTCATTTCTTGAAATTTTTCCATTAGTGGTGGCGTTGGCATTGTGGGAGCACCAGCTGATGGACAAGAAGGTTATTTTCTTTACTGACAACATGTCAGTGGTGGAGGCTGTTAATAGGTTGTCTGCTTCTCCTATTCATGTTTTTTGTCTCCTTTGCTGCTTTGTTCTTTCTTGAATGCAGTTTAAATGTTGTGTTCAGGGCGCGGCACAGGCCGGGCTGTTGAACATGGTGGCTGATTCACTCTCTCGTTTCAGTGGGAATGATTTCGGGAAGTGGCACTGGGTGCTCAGATGGAGGGAGTGCCTTGTCCGGCGGACGTGTGGTGGCTCAGGACATCTTGATAGGCGGTTGTTGGCGCTGTCCACATGGGCGGCCTACGTCAAGGTTTGGCAAGAATGTGATGCTGCAATGGTGTGTGCGGAAGGTCAGGATTCAGCTGCGGTGCAGTTTGACATGCTGTTATGGTGCATGTGAATTATTTTATTTTATGCTGGTTCGTCTGTTTGTTCGTGCATTGCCCTGTCCATACGGTTCCTATGCTTTATTCCCCTTTTGCCGAAAGAACTGCCGAACGGCCGGCCTCCCAGCGAGGAAGTGTGCTGCTTGTTAACCTCTTGGCCTCATTAGAACGTTATGGTTAACCGCAGATACTTCCTATTGTCGAATGGTCGGCTGGGTGTTCGTCGTTCCTATAAACGAACATGAGGTGGTGGCCATCTTGGACATACGAACGCCCAGTGGTGTTCGTCAACGATTACATGGAACTAGAAACTGACACTATTTTCATGCGAACACCGCTGAAGCCGCCGACCTCCCTTCATCTGTTTTCCGTTCATACGAACGCCGTACCGTTCGGTACATTTCTATACAAACAGAGCCACCCCAGATAGCTATCCAATTGAGCCCATTCGTATAACGAATAAACTATGTGAAAGATTTTGGCTCCATGGTGATTGGACTGTGTGTATTTGATCTGAGCGCTATTCGGTAATATTGTGCGCTCGGATCCAAGCTATCTGTTGATACGTTGAATGTGGCGCTTCTGTCCGGGAGTTTTAGAATTATGTGTTTTTATGTATTTTTATTATCCTGTATAAAATGGAGATTATGCTCTATCCTCGGAGATAATTGAGTTACTTCTCAATTATCTCCACTCAGGTGGGAGTGTTTGTGGCAAACCTAGCCACTTGGACTATAACTAGAGACTATGCCTTTAAGGGTTGCCTATAGGTCTGGAGAGATATGCGCTTTACTCTTCTATATATACTTAATGTATTCTCTGCATTGCCTGTAATTGCTGTTTCCGCCGAATGCAAATGGCGGTTTTGTATGGGGATTTTCTTTCGTTTCACGAACGGCACTTTAGAGAGCCGTTCGTGAACCGAACGCGATACCCCCTAATAGCCCACACACTTAGAGGCGTGTGGCGCTAGTTAACCGATTGCAACATTGTTGCAATCGGTTATTAGAGGCTCTCCTGGGTGGCCGTCGCTCAACTACCGACCATGCGGTGGTCGGCCATCTTGGATCCTTTGTTCCTCAGCGGTGCCGGGTCGTCGAACGCATAGTACTACCAATAGCTATTCGACGGCACGAACACCGCTGAGCCTCCAGGACGTTCGGGAGTTTCAGGATCGTGTTCACTAAAAGCAATCGGTCCTTTTCGTATGTTTTAAAAGAAATGGGTTTTTCGTGTGGCGTTCGGTTATTTTAGCTGGGATCTGAGCGGTAATCTCACGAATGATGCGCTCAGACCCCAGCTATCTACCGAACGTCCATTCGTGTGAATCCACCGTGTATTTAACAAGTTATGTATTTTTGTTTAAATTGTCGGTTCTGCTGCACGAGGGGATAACCCCCTTAACGGTGCATTCTGGGAGGATGATCCCTCTCGTGCAGCGGTGCATGATGGGAGAAATATGTTGTCATGTAAGTCCCCCATGTAGTCCCCTCTGGGAGTGCCCCTGGGAAGGGACTCAGGAAACCCCTTGCATGGGGACTTGTATAAATTGTCCAGCCGATTAAAAGGATGTCAGTTGACTCTCAAAACTGTGTCTCGTCCGGTTATTGGGAGGTTGGGGATATTGCCTTGTTGTTTCAGCGCTTGACTGTGGATTCGTTTCTGAACCAGCGGAATTCGTGGATTTATTATTGGCGTTCCGCTACAGTGTTTATACCTGTTTTGCTGTGATTGGTTACTGTAAGAAGTTGTCACAGTTTTCCACCAGGTCCCCTAGGTAGCCCAGATTAAACAGATTCCTGCTTGACCCTCAATATAGAGCCTCGTCTCGTACTTGGGGGGATTATTCGTATGTTTTTCCTGTTCGGCAGTTCGGCAGTTTGGAGTAGTATTTATACCTGGGGTGGCGTTACGGTGCATATGCAGATTTTTCTTTGGGGCATCTCTGTCAGCCATAGGGTGCAACATGGCGGCCTTGGCATTTTTATTTAAGCTTAATGGCTGGGAAGATTTGACCAAACATTTCCTGGTACGTAGGAATTCTGCAGGGTCTACTCAGGATGCTTCCAAATGTTTGTTTTTCGGAGTACGAAGTTTTGTTGTTTTTTTCGTAGCATTTAGTTGTGCCTTTTTAGGGGTGTTCAGGATCAGTGAGTAGCAACCGCTTGGGTAGTGGTTGGTTACAGTGTGCGTACGTGGAACTGTAGCCGAATCCGGTGGTGCTTCATCTCCACCGTTCCAAAACGGACTTGTTCAGGTAGGGTGCCTAGGTATCACTTTTTACGGAACCAAGGATGGCGGCGTGTCCAGTGGCTTGTGTAATGGCTTTCCGGGCGGCTCACTCTGGCTTAGGAGGTTCATTTCTGTTGTATGCTGATGGTACGTCGTTGTCCAAGTTTCAGTTCCTTAGGGTCTTTCGGTTGGCCTTGGGACAGATGGGCCAGGACAGTTTGGGACACATTCATTCAGGATAGGGGCTGCCACAGAAGCGGCTCGGTTGGTTTTGGGGGATGACCTGGTCAAGGAGATCGTGAGGTGGGAATCCGTGAGATTCCGATCATATGTGAAGTTTGGTTGCAATGTTTTGCGTGGTTATGTGTTTGGTAACGTGTTTTTCTCCCGCAGGTTGGTTTTTGTGGGTAAGGGGACACTCATATGTGTACTGGGCGCAATGGAGAGCTGCAGTTTGCCATCAAGGCATACAGCTGGGCTTCAGCGCTCGATGGTGCAGATTGAGCTGTTTGGCTTTAGTTGGAATGGGGTGTGCTAAGAGCGGGTATAGTGCTTGATATCTGTAGCCTCCCCGCAAGAGGGGTTGCTTCCGGACCGGGTAAAGCAAGACTTTCCCGTTGCATCTCCCTCCAAGCTGGAACAGCAGACACAGGGGTTAAACCTTCCTTCCCTCCAGATGACACACAGTTCTGAAGGTTAAAACACTGACAATCTTTATTGAAACCAGGCTTCTTTTATGCACAGACCCCTGCAGGGGGTCTCCATTCAACACAGGTTACAGATAGGAGCTTTGGTAACCTTTGAAGCTCGGCGCCTTGGGAAGAGAAGGGGTCACATAGATAAAACCTGCATCACTAAATAGTCCCATCTGGGATGCCTGCAGAAAGTGGGGGGGATCGGATTTACAGATCCCAAGAAATCAGCATCTAAAGTCTGGAACTCGTGGCTCTGTACATCCCTGAAATGAGTTGCTTGGTTTAGTCCGGCGAATTCAAACTTCACGCCCAAACCAAGCAACAACCAATCAGCTGGAATGAAAACAAATCTCGCCAATCAGCGCGCTGGGAGGAGAGGTGTTTCACTGCCCCTATGAGGCGAAAGGGCGCAAAACTCGATGGACACCCAGATATGGGGTATTAAACAGATAGCTGTGTCCCCTTATGTTAATATTTAGCAAGCATCACAATTACTGTATAGGACCAGCTGAAACAGGCGTACAGTGATAAATAGGGAGATACAATAATGGTGCTGCGATACCATAACCACTGCATCATAAGATGCTCCAGGTACAGCGCTGCACCCCATGACTAAAACTTAGAGCAGTTACAGTGCTCAGCCACTTGATGGCAGATATCCCCAATACCCCGTCACACAGCACCCTGACTCCCCTAACCTGGCCATCCAGGGTCATTATTACAATTGGAGAAGAACATTATTAATTACGCCAAATCACTTCTCACCTCACTGAGATAAACAGTAGCTAGAAGTGTTAATTCCATTCCATAAATAAACATAACATTATTATAATATCAACACAAAGAGTTTGTGTTGAAGTGTAGCCTTACAAGTCCAAAAAGGCACAAACAGGGTCTGTAACCAAAGTCTATTACTGGGGCCATAGTCACAGGGCAGGAGGCTGTCAAACAGGCCATTGGCGAGGTCACTTTCACCACAGCTGGTATCAGACAAAGTGTAAACATCTCTAATGAGAGATGAAGGGGTGTTTTATAAACCCCTACATACTTATTAACCCTAAATAGGGCTATAACACATACAAATCACCTTGCCGGTATCAGCTAAAAGGCAAATTTATATTCAAATGGCCATTGGAATAAAACTAAAGAGCCTCCATTTTGTTTAAATGTACATAGGGATTTAGCCCAGAGTGCAGCTAACGTTCTGATAATATCATTCTGATAGAAATGAATATACGCTGATCAATTATCAATCATAATCAATAACAGCCCGATAATCCCTCTCCCCCCCACCCCCGCCAGGACAGCAATACAGACTGAAATAAAACAATAATACAGAGAGTGCCACGACCAGAATAATATCTTAACTGGAGACCACGTCCGCTTTCACTTCTCAATTCTCTGCTCCTGTGAGAGTTAAGAAAGCCATGCAGCCCCACTAGGAAGCTGTATTAGTAAAACAACGCTCTATGCTACTCCGACCACTCTCAGACTGCCAGCTCTGTGGCCTAGGCATGGCCAGCCCTACAGAACATGTATAGGTAGAGAAATAATAATCACAGAATTCCCTAAATAAACCCAACATAACATCAGTGAGGCTTAAACAAAGCCATAGTCCCACAGTGCAAGCCACGTCTGTGTATATAGGGAGAGTGGGCAAAGCATGGTAGTGTGGAGGCTGTGTACCTGCAGTGTGTGGTAGTGTGGAGATGGGTGTACCTGCAGTATTTGGTAGTGTGGAGACGGTGTACCTGCAGTATGTGGTAGTGTGAAGGCTGTGTACCTGCAGTATGTGGTAGTGTGAAGGCTGTGTACCTGCAGTATGTGGTAGTGTGGAGATGGGTGTACCTGCAGTATGTGGTAGTGTGAAGGCTCTGTACCCTCAGTATGTGGTAGTGTGGAGACAGTGTACCTGCAGTATGTGGTTGTGTGGAGATGGGTGTACCTGCAGTATGTGGTAGTGTGAAGGCTGTGTACCCTCAGTATGTGGTAGTGTGAAGGCTGTGTACCTGCAGTATGTGGTAGTGTGGAGATGGGTGTACCTGCAGTACGTGGTAGTGTGAAGGCTCTGTACCCTCAGTATGTGGTAGTGTGGAGACAGTGTACCTGCAGTATGTGGTTGTGTGGAGATGGATGTACCTGCAGTATGTGGTAGTGTGGAGACGGTGTACCTGCAGTATGTGGTAGTGTAGAGACAGTGTACCTGCAGTATGTGGTAGTGTGGAGGCTGTGTACCTGCAGTATGTGGTAGTGTGGAGACGGTGTACCTGCAGTATGTGGTAGTGAGGAGGCTGTGTACCTGCAGTATGTGGTTGTGTGGAGACGGTGTACCTGCAGTATGTGGTACTGTGAAGGCTGTGTACCTGCAGTGTGTGGTAGTGTGGAGGCTGTGTACCTGTCCTGCAGTACGTGGTAGTGTGGAGGCTGTGTACCTGCAGTACGTGGTAGTGTGGAGGCTTTGTACCTGCAGTACGTAGTAGTGTGGAGGCTGTGTACCTGCAGTATTTGGTAGTGTAGAGGCTATGTACCTGTAGTATTTGGTAGTGTAGAGGCTGTGTACCTGCAGTATTTGGTAGTGTGAAGGCTACATTCCTGCAGTACATGGTAGTGTGAATGCTATGTACCTGCACAATGTGGTAGTTTGGAGACCATGTACCTGCAGTACATGGTAGTGTGAAGGCTGTGTACCTGCAGTACATGGTAGTGTGAAGGCTGTGTACCTGCAGTACATGGTAGTGTGAAGGCTGTGTACCTGCAGTACATGGTAGTGTGAAGGCTACATTCCTGCAGTACATGGTAGTGTGGATGCTATGTACCTGCACAATGTGGTAGTTTGGAGACCATGTACCTGCAGTACATGGTAGTGTGAAGGCTGTGTACCTGCAGTACATGGTAGTGTGAAGGCTGTGTACCTGCAGTACATGGTAGTGTGAAGGCTGTGTACCTGCAGTACATAGTAGTGTGAAGGCTGTGTACCTGCAGTACATGGTAGTGTGAAGGCTGTGTACCTGCAGTACATGGTAGTGTGAAGGCTGTGTACCTGCAGTACATGGTAGTGTGAAGGCTGTGTACCTGCAGTACATGGTAGTGTGAAGGCTGTGTACCTGCAGTATGTGGTTGAAGCGGAGAGCTGGTCTTTCACAGGTTAACTCCACTAAAGATCCCAGTAAGGCTCAGGAACAAGTTATAAAATACCATAGGAGAATAATCACAGCAAGCAAGGTAATCCATGAATATCCCCATACAGATCCCAATGACTGGACGACACACAGCATCAGGAGCAGAACTGAACTTTTAATCACTCAACCTTCTTTTAAAGCATTCTCCCATGCAAGGGAGGGATTTGCAATAATTAGTACAGTAGCCAATCCTCCACGAGTTGCCACCCACATATCCCCTCCCCTTAGTGTGACACATAATCCCCTTATGCAGGACACAAATTCCCTGAGTTTCTGGAAGTACCCCTAAACCCCTAAAATGTTACATCCCCTGGTAGCCCTGATCTGGGTGAGAGACATATCCAAAAATCACCCAGATCGGACCAGGAGTTCAGGAAATTTATGGAAGTACTAAAATGACCGACCGCGCTGGGTTTACCAGCCGAAAAGGGCTCCATGCGTTTTGGCCCTGCGGTCGGTCACACAAAAGGGAATGTAACATGCGAATGACTTGTGTTAGGAGAGCTGGGGAGGTTTCGTGTAATTTCCCATTGTGGCGAAACCGACCTTGCCACATGTCCTTGGAGGGGGCTGCTTGCCCGCCTCTTACCATTAGACTATGGTCCCTGTTCTTTTTCCCTGGTTTGTGCCTTTCTGCGGACTGTTAAAGCCATGCTACCCCAGATAGCTATGCCATGGAGCCCAGCCGTATATTGAAAGACTGTATGAAAGACTTTGGCTCCATGGCGATTGAACTGTATGTATGTGATCTGAGCGCCAGCCGGTAATAACGTGCGCTCAGATCTAAGCTATCTGGGGATATGTAGAATGTCTGTATTTTATGTATTAATGTAACCTTGTGTATTTTATTGTATTTTACTGTCTTTTGTCTTCCATGTGTGTAATGGAGTTTGCCTCTGTCCTTGGAGTTAATTGGATTACTTCTCCAATTATCTCCTGGCCAGGGAGGAGGGATTGTGATGCATTGTGCGCTGTAACTGTTATTTGATTGGTTATTTTATACCTCCCTGTGGGCGGTCCTGTATGTGCAAGACTAATAAAAACCAGGCTGGGTGTGCCAGCAGTGTTGTTCCTGTTTAACCCTCAAAGTGAAGTGTCGTCTCATTATTGGGGGAAGGATTTATTGTATGCTGTTCCAGTTTGACTGCTAGGAGAGTAAACCTATTCGTATGGTTCCTATTCAACTGTCTACAGCATTCATATGCTTGGGAGAATTGATTTGTTTCTCCGGTTCGGTGATTGTGGTGTCTGCCAGAGTGCTTGGAGTCCTCAGGAAGCACTAGGAGCATCCTTCAACGGAGGTACCCAGTTGGGTTGCCAGGCGATCAGTTACACCCATGTTCGTGGGATTCAAACTACCGAATGAGAAGCCGTTCGTTGTTTGCATACGAATTGGCTGCAGTGTGGAGGTCTCAGCTGTGTTTGCCTGACTGAGTGTCCGATTTGGGTTCCAGACACTCGACGGCAAAACAACGCTGTTCGGCAGTTTTAAAATGGCCGCTGCCACGTGTTCGTCTCCCAAATCGCGGCCACCCAGAGAACAAAGGACCCACTACACGAACTGCCAATTACCCGTTTGCAACATTGTTGCGAACAGCAATTGGAGGCACACTTATTACTGGGGTGGTCTGATTGTTCAGTAGTTTCATTCGCATAATACTGCAGTGATTCAGACAAATGCTACATACACTTCACATATACAGATTACAATTTAACCGAATACATAGACATAAATGCACTTTTAGAAAAAAAAAAAAAAATCTATGCCAGCCCCATAAGTCATTGCGCCATATATTGTCGCATGTAATATGTAAGGCTATGTCTTGCCACCCTAGATGATATATATATATATATATATATATATATATATATATTGCTTTTTCCAATATAAAATATTGGTCCTTTCAGAGTAACATTTTTAATTATACAGTAAGCATACTCACATGCAGACACAGACAATCTCACTGACACAAGCTAATTGATACACAGCCTTTCAGACAAACAATCTCACTGATATACATAAGGTCATTGACATAAAAACACAAGCTCACTCAGTAGCAGGCACACACACACACAAGCAAGCCCACTCACTAGCAGGTACGCACACACACGCAGCTTAATGTAGTGGCTCTGGTGTCTATAGCCTGTCCCTGCAGGCTTTAGAGAAAAGGCAGTGTTTACATTGCTTCCTAGTGACAGACACTCAGACGGTCACTAGAGGTGCTTCCTGTGTCAGTGCAGATTGGCTGAGATCATGAAGCTTGGTGATCTCAGCCATAGAGGCAGGGCTAGTCGAGGGGAGACCAGCACGACGTGGGGGAAAACCACGGTGAGTAAAAACACACATACGATTTGGGTTCCAAATGAGTAAAAACACACATACCATGACAGACACACACCATGACATAGACAGACCGTGACACAGACAGAAACACACACACCGTGACACAGACAGAAACACACACACATCATGACAGACAGACACACCATGACACAGACAGACACACACACACATACCATGACAGACACACACCTTAAAAAAGACACACACACACCATAAAACAGACAGACCGTGACACAGACACACATTACATGACACAGACAGACACACACACCACGACACAGAGAGACTGTGACACAGACACACACACACCATGACATACAGACACACACACCATGACAGAAACAGATTGTGATACAGACACACATTACATGACAGACACACACACGACACAGACACACATTGCATGACACAGACAGATGTACACACCATGACATAGACACACACACACACCATGACATAAACACACGATGACACAGACACACATTGCATGACATGACACAGACAGAGAGACACACACACACACACCATGACACAGACACACACAATGACACAGACAGACACACCATGACAGACACACACACATACTGACACACATAATTGCTACTTGTGTGCTGGCGGCCGCATGGGGAGCTCTGATGGCGGCCGCATGGGGGAGCTGGCTCTTCTGGAGGCCGCAGAGGGAGCTCTTTTGGCGGCCGCAGGGGAGCTGGCTGTTCTGTCTCTGCTCCCCCGCCCCAGCGCGCCGTTTAATGAGACCGGGGCCTGAATATGACGTCATATTCCGGCCCTGGTCTCTTAGTAGCCGCTGGGGAGGGGGAGCAGAGACAGAACAGCCAACTCCCCCTGTGGCCGCCAAAAGAGCTCCCTCTGTGGCCTCCAGAAGAGCCAGCTGCCTGCCCGGCCCCAGGTGCCAGCGGCCCACCAGGAAATTTCCCTGTATCCCGGTGGGCCAGTCCGGTACTGTGTACCTTGTGTCAGAATTATTCCCTCTCCATTCAGTTGTCTGCACCCTCCTTGTTCGTTTCCCGAATAGATGATGTGTGATCCCCATTTACACCCCTCAAACACGACCACCCCTGGTTTGTTAACATCAAATGACCAATTAGCTCAAGTGCTTTCCCTGGGTCGCTGCCATTCGTAGAACCGTGGTCTAGTGAATGGTGGCCATTTTGTCTCCCAAACGCTCCCAACCGGCTGTTGCCTCTTTTTCTCTGGAACTATTTTGGGCTACCACCTCGTGGCTGGCCCATCAGAAATTTACTTGAATGGTGATTCTGTTCTACTGAATGGAACTGATCGCTATTTGGAAAACTTGGGCGGTCAGATCCAGGCTATAAAGGGATATAAGACTTGTGGGGTTCCTCTGTATTCTGATTGTATTTTTGGAGTGTTTTATGTATTTCTTATGTGGTTTCCTGTAACTGAGAGATAATTGAGTTACTGGTCTTTCACTCAATTATCTCCCAGACACAGGGGCGTCTGGGAGGGGCTTGTGTTGTGTTGAATGGAGACCCCTTGCTGGGGGCCTGTGCATAAAAAGCCAAATGTGGCATAATAAAACTCACTTGTATTCCCAGAACTGTGTGTCGTCCAGTTACTGAGGAGGAGGAGGAGGAGAGCTATTCACTTTTCAGAGCCTTGTTCCTGAGTTCAAATTACCACGGATCCAGCAGAGGAAAGTCCTGGTCAGTACTAGTGCTTCGGTACATTGGTTGGCCACACTGAGTGGTGGATAGCAGTACCAAATGGGCCGTGGATGGAGACAGATTACACAATCCTAAAATGGTCCACTCTGAAGGATCTCCTGGAGGCGAGATCCTTAGCGGCAAGCAATAAGAAAAAGGCCACCATTATTGCCAAATTAATGGAGGAGAACCTACCAATCGGCAACCCTGATCCACAAGTGATGGAGGAAACCGAAGTGCATAAGGAGCTACGATTTTGGCTAGCCTTTTACAGGATATCCTGGCACAAATCATGTCCGCAGTACAAGCATTCGAACGGTCCAGAACCGAACAACCAGCGCAAGAAAGGGCCACGGCAGTAACCGTTATCTAGGAAGCCAAAATGCCGTACGGGGTTCATAGTGAGGAATTTTCTCTGTCCGGCCTTTTCAAAAATTATGTGAGAGGCTGTGCAGTTTACTTTGGATCAGCAAAGAGGATTGGGTCCCTCTCCTAGCTGGCAGACTGATGGGGAGAGACTCTGAGGCATACCGGGCAGTCCCAGACAAGGACATTCGGGACTATACTGTAACGGTGCTTACAGAGGGCTCCGAGCGCTCCGCAGACACCACAACCACCGCAGACCCCACGAACCGCCGCAGCTTGGTTGGGGTCTCGCCGTCTCCTACCCACCCTGGACCTACGACAAGGCTCCAGGTTCCAATGGATGAACCTCTCCTCCAAGAGAGTGAAGCAGGAACAAGCTCTTAAAAAGAGCTTAGAAGTGATTATCCAAGGGAGCATGCAGAGCATAGCAATCCCTTGTAGTTATATAGCAATTCCCCCAATAAGAGACAGGACTCTAGATTGAGGGTGAAGTAGAACTCTGGTTTAAT